TTACAAATCTTTTTGAAATGTGGGCCATGGATCGACCAATCAGGATCCACATCACAAATCTTTTTGAAATGTGGGCCATGGATCGACCAATCAGGATCCACATTACAAATATTTTTGAAATTATTCAATGATAACTTGCTGGCAGGAATTCTCCAGGATCGTTACCCCTCCAATCTCTCCCCATACATACCCTGTCAAAATCGTCATCATCGTCCGAGACTTCCACTCCCTTGAGTTTGCCATCACTAGACTCTGAGTCCTATGGACAGAAAAGCAAAAGGTGTGAAAAGAGAACATGAGTTTTTAAGGGCAAACCATTTGGGCTTAACAGTGCTGTCTTGATCAACTGTGTGTGCATGCTGTTACTTTTACAACTTTTGAGTACTTTAGAATGATAAAAACTGCACCGATTTCTCTATAATTGTACACTTATAGCTCGACAGATGTTTTGTATATGTTATCATTTGAACTCCATCCTCATTAGTTTGACCAAAACCATGACAGCAAACTGTCAGAGGATGCAACTTTAGAGCATTATTGTTTTCATTGGGTATTTCTTTTTATGACTGAAGCCCGTTCCAATATGACAAATGATTATCACGCTTTGTTTAAAAAAAGACAACCAAGAAAAAAACGAAAATGGTTCCAAAAATATAGCTAATGGTATCTATAGTGTTCAGCCTTAAGGCCATGTGTACATTATGCGGCTCAGGCTGAGAGAAGCACATGCACCACTGAAAGCCGCTGCCAAGCCACTGCCAAAATTTCTAAGAGACACCTGTCTAATGGACCAAAGCCAATGCCAAGTTCAAGCGACAACTCTAGTTAACCACAGTTCAACTACCATTGCGTGACCGAGGGACAGTTTGGACCATCTAGTCGACTGTTTGGAACCAGACCCTGGGGCAAGCCGGTTATCAGTTATCAAGAGCTGATTTCATTGATCAGAATAAGGAAATATTCAAATGAAAATATTTGTTCGAGATGTTCCTGACCATAAACGCCACGAGAATTGCTGCCAATGGCAAAGAGCAAGTGATGACGGGATTTTACAAAATTGTTAAACAAGAGTCATCCCAGTGTGACTATGTTGCCCACGTGCGCTGTTAAAAGCAACTGACTAGTGGTTGAACCCTAGTCTGTGCCCGAACTTGCCCTTAGTTATTCGGACCCCTGTAATATGCTGTGCTTCCAAAAAGAGGTTGGCAGAAACCAGACCAGATTCCAAATTAGAAAAGAAATGGTAAGTAGAAGAAAAAACTTGGATGTTCTCTTCAAAAACTGTAAGCTACCGTGTTGGGACAAAATAGTAAGTTGTAAAATAGTTCAAATGAAAGTTCTTACATCATATCCTAAGCCACCGACATCTTGAAGGTCCAGGTCAAGATTTAACCTGGGCGTGCCAGAATCCTAAGAGGCCAAAAAGGAAAAAGAAAACCACACAATTCATGAAAGAGTTGGGGAAAGATAAACACTACCTCAACTGCAGTTTATTCATGTCTGAATTATATTTCCTTTTGTCTTATGAAGAGGTTGGGCGAACATGTTTTTCTTGGCAAACGCCAACGGCCAAAAGTTTTCGCAGAGCTGGCTCAGCAAATGCACGTTCTAAATCAAGTATCAACTGAGAACTAGCAATGAGAAGTTTATTCCAATAGAGGGCTTACATGGCTGCCATCCTACAGGCCAGTGCTTCAGTTCAACAGGCTACACACAAAGGAGGCTTTCCTGTGGAACAAAGGAACTGCCCTGCAAGATGGCTACCATGCAAAGGCTCTATAGCACAGTAGCTCCTCAGCATTTGGATACTCCAATATGCCAAGAGAATCTGGTAGCTTGGCTTATTCTTCAAATCACCCCTCAATGGGGAAAAGGATCAGAAAGAAATGGAGAGACTTGCAAGGATAAGGGGTTTGTCCACAATCTCCCAGCGTCTTTCCTAATATGTATCAAGGTTACACAGAATTTTACGGAATTAGGTACATGTACCGGTACATCCCAGCCCCAAATTTTACATTACACAGGGTTTGATGCCCCCCTTGAAAGTTAAGCACAGACAATTTGCTACGCTACTTAGGAGGCGCGAGGGAGGTACAAAGTAGCAAAAATTGCAAAGGAGGGTAAGGTTGAGCTTTGTTTCACCTCATCAGAGAAGTCAGGCATCATCTGGATGTTCTCCTCTCTGGCTCCTTTGAGTGACATGGACTGGCTCTTCTTCTGGCTGGCAGCGTTGCTCTTCAAGAAACGGGAGGAGTCTGCCGTTCCTCCGAGGTTGGCGCCAGATTTCTGTGGACAAATATACAAAACAATGCTATAGCGCCAGTCACAGACCTACATTTTGGGGGGTTGACTGTCCTACTTACAATATTACGCATTCTGGGATATTCCACTCTCACATGCACAAAACATCATACGATTTTGTAAAAAAAAAAAAGGCCAACAATTTCAATTTAGGGGATCTAACGTGTCCAACACCAAGACCACTTAAACTGAGATTCTGAATGCGCATGCAGAAAGGCATGCCAGTTCTAGACACCCACATGTACCAATGCCTGCAGTTGCCGCTAGTATGTGAAAAGCTTATGGGCATCAAAATCATTCTTTAATTTTGCACAGTCAATGCAAGTGACGGACTCTCCAATAGTGTTAATTGGCAAAAAGGGTGAAGTCTACCAAAAATCCATATAGATATATATACATGTATATATATACTGTACATGTATCAGGGAGCCCTCTGTGAAATTTTCAGTGATGTACAAGAACACAGCCTATCAGAGACCATCTACAATCTTCGCTTGAATGACGTAAGGCCACAGGACTGGCCTGTAATTGTAATCACAAATTGATTATTTCATCTGCTGGCAAATTCACCAAAGGGAAAAGTGAAGAGCAAAAACAGATTCCAGTCTGAACTCACCCCTAGTGTTGAGCCGAGAGTTGATCCAGCACCCTTGAGTGACCCCAAGGGATTGAGCTGACCTGTGCCCCTTGTACTGCCCAGGGTGCCTGTACCGCCTAGGGTTGACCCCAGCGTGGATTCGCCCTTCAAGGGCCCCAGAGGCTGAACAAAAAAGGCACACTGAGTTGAAAGCCACTGTTTTCTGGGTTTCAGTGGGACAAATACCGATGATCAAACATCTACAGACTTGTGTAGGTGTTACAAATATGTGCACTGAATGGAGAAGCTCCACATTTGTCAACATACATGTAGATGTCTCCAAATAAAGAAGAAATTTCAGAAAACCTCTGGCTTTATGTGGTGTGTCCAACTCCTCTTTACATGTCTGTCATGCACTGCAAATTTCCATTTCCCCACATGTATTTCCACTTTCATTTCCCTATTCCCATTTCATTTCCTTATTTCCATTTTCATTTCCCTATTCCCATTTCATTTCCTTATTTCCATTTTCATTTCCTTATTTCCATTTTCATTTCCCTATTTCCAAGTTGCTCTTCGGTTCTTTACAGAACCACACATACTCAAAAGAGATATTTTTCACATGGTGTATCCGCAAACCCTCTACCTTCCCTATTTCC